TTAAATGAACTCAAACTTGACGTCATTCTGATAAAGAGTATACGCTATAATCATTTTAACTTTACATTGTATCGCAGAAATTTTTCTGCGCAGCAATAATTTGTCACAAATTATATCGCGAAAAGTTCAAAAGTTTCAATTGAAAAAATTATGTACCATCGAAATCGTCAAAAATTTATTTCTCATTCTTGTGTCCAAAAGATCTTTATTAAATGCACATCGTACCTGTCTAGCTTCGTTTTCAATGTCAGGATTTAAAGAAGGTCATAAAAATTCCTTTTTGTATTTAATGTAAAAAAAAATCTGTCAAAATGTCCGAAAAGGTGTTGTGAAGTAAGGAGGTCATTGTATACATTGTTGAGAACATAAACTATATATACACAATTGCAAAACCTATATCAGACTAGAGTTGCGTCTCGTCCAATATAGGTTTAAAAGCTGTGTACTCATCCAATATAATTCAGTATTGTACTCAACACTATAAATTTACGTCATGATATTGACACATGTCTAATATCGTACAAGAACGCATCGTACATGAAGGCATGATACTTATTTATCTATCTGTAACACGGTTGTTTCCTTCCAGGGAACTACTGGGCCGGAATGGCCATACTGGAAGATGTCTGGAAATGGATCCACACGGAGACTGAACTTGATCAAGGTTACACTAACTGGTATCAAAACCAATACTGGCAATATTGCGGGTCATTAAATTCGAACGTAAACTATCAATGGATTAGAAGCAAATGTTCACATACGGCAATGTACATTTGCGAACAGACGAAATATGCATAAGAGAGTTGTCGTCTTTTTATGATGAACGCTTCGTGAAATCAGACATTGATTGAACGCAGAACAATTCAATTCTATTCTTGATTCATTGTAACAATGCTGCCAGCGTTCTTTGCCGTAAAATGGAACTATTTTACAACACACAATAATTCATGATCATTTGATATATTTTGTACAAACATTAGTATAATATTTGCTGTATTTGCATATGCATTAAGTCAAAAACAGGATGAAATCTCCAGTTCAAATAGGGATAATAGTTAGATTTAATTAAAAAATTCTTCTTGATTTGATTTTGCAAAACTAGAAATCTCTAGAAACTCTTCAGAAAATGTGTGATGACATATTCTGTTCAAAATTCAAAAGTAGTGTAACTGTAGATGTTGATTTTTCTAGCGTCATCATATTTTACTTTTGGGCACTCATGGCCAGATGTTGACCGATATTAATGTAAATAGCAAAGCTGTATTTTTGATAAGTTTATATATCTTTTAAACTTTATGGAGTAAGACTCTCTCTTCTTCTAAATTTAGTTGGGTTCTTTGCTTATGATTTTCATGTTGGAGGGCTGAGAAAGAGAATCTCAACTTAGCATAGGAAAACTTTGCTACATGTTCTCTATCAAGAATGTGGAGAATCATAACTTTGTCAAAGTTCAGAGCTTTATACTATTTAAGATAAAAAGATGCTTAAGCTCAGTCGGTAAAGCCTCGGAACGGCTTTCCGAGGGCACCGGGTTTGAGTCCCGGTCAGGCTGTACATTGAAAAACAGTATTAATAACATGTCTGGTCCAAGAAGAAATGGTCGTAATAAACTTATATCATATAGATTCTTTAAACAAGGTTATGAAACAGAAATGTATGTCTCTATAAGTAATATTCCTGCTAAACACAGATCCGCTCTGGCTAAATTCAGATGCGGTGTTGCGCCTATACGTTTAGAAACGGGGCGATATGAAAATATGTCTGTTAATGCTAGACTGTCCTATTTGTAAAAATGCAGTTGAAACGGAAAACCATGTCTTATTAGAATGTTAATGTTATGAAACAATAAGAAGGAGTTTATATGAAGAAGCTGTTAAAATTAATCATAACTTTCACGGATGGAATGATGATCACAAATTTGATTTTTTTCTATCTTATCACGATATTGTTAGAGAAAGTGTCAAAGCCTGTTTCTCAATATTAAATATGAGATCGAACCTTCTGTACAGTTAGTTTTTATAATAGACAGTTACTTTTAATTGTACAGATATATTTGCTTGGTTTTTTAACATGTTATTTATTGTATTTTATAATTTTTGCTCTTTTTAAGCCAATGGCCAAGTAATATCTGATGATACCCATGTACCCTGAAACATTCGCGTTCTCCAGTAATCATATCCTATACATTCATTTTCTTACTTAGTCTCGCCCCTTACAATTATTTTCATGGTCATGCCATGTAGATCTATTTTTCTTACTTTTCATAGACTGTACATCCATATTCTTACACACAAAGATGTACTTGGTCACGTCCTGTACATCTCTGTTCTTACTTGTAATATCCTATACATTTATGTTCTTACATTGCCACGTCCCTTACAAACATGCGCTTGGTCAGGTCCTGTACATTTATATTCTTACCTGTAATGTCCTATACATTTATGTTCTTACATGGCCAGGTCCCTTACAAACATGTACTTGGTCACGTCCGGTACATCTATGTTCTTTCTTGTTTTACCCTGTACATTAGCGTTCTTACATGTCACGTCCCATACAAAGATGTACATGGTCACGTCCTGTACATTTATGTTCTACTTATAATATCCTATACAATCAAATTCTTACATGATCATGTCCCTTACAAACATGTACTTGATCATATCATAAACATTTATGTTCCTACTTGAAATATCCTGTACTTTCATGTTCTTATTTCGTCACCTTCGTTATAAACATGTACATGTACTTAATCATGCCCTGTATATGAATATCCTCATTTATCACATACTGTGTAATTATATCTTATAATAAAAAAGTTCTCTGAAAGTGATTTTTTATATATCCTTTAAATAACAAGAATTGTCTTTAGAACTTCTATAAATGCCGTTTTATTGTCTATTTAACATTTCTACATTTTGCTTGAAGTAAATTTGTAATTTATTTCGCATGAACGGTACATAACTCACGTGACCCATTATCAACCGGAATTTTCAATATTTTGAAATATGTAGTCATTTAGCTCAACTTGGTGATGAAGAAAATGAACATTATGTCAAATTAAAAATTCTATACAACAAACATGCCAAGATATGTAATTTTTTTAGACGATACATGTATTTTAAACTCGAAGAGCAGCGTATAGTGGCATCTTTTAGAAAAGTATTCAAATAGACAATCTTGGTCCATCCAACAGTTTGCAGGAGGGCTTTGAATGAGGCATTAGAATTGCAAGGATCAATCATAAAAATCATGAAATAAAGCATCTGCATGAAAATATTTTGGAAAAAAAAAATGTTCGGGTTCATTCGACTCCGAATAAGACAGAAGTAATTACGTAAAGAAAGACACCAGTTGCAGTTATTTTTGATAATTCTGCATAAGAATTGCAAGGATCAATAATTAAAATCATGAAATAAAGCATCCACATAATTTTTTTTGAAAAAATATTAAAGTCGAATAAGGAAAAGTGAACCAGTTCCTTATTCCTTATTCAACTCCGAATAAGGAACAGAAGAAAATATGTAAAGAAAGACACCAGTTGCAGTTATTTTTGATAAATTTGCATAAGAATTGCAAGAATCAATCATTAAAATCATGCAGATTTATAAAAAATAATTGCAACTGGTGTCTTTCTTTACGTATTTTCTTCTGTTCCTTATTCGGAGTTGAATAAGGAATAAGGAACTGGTTCCCTATTCCTTATTCGACTTTTAACATTTTTTTCCAAAATAATTTATGCAGATTCTTTATGCAATGATTTGAATGAGGTATAAATTTTATTTTAAATAAATACTAATTCTGCTGTTCCTTATTTAGATTTGAATAAGGAATCAAGAACTAGTTCCCTATTCCTTATTCGAAAAAGGAATAAGGAACTGATTCCTTATTCCTTATTCGAAAAAGGAATAAGGAATAGGGAACTAACTTTATGTACATAGAGCACAGTTCAACCACCGATACGTATCGTTCCTGGCAAGGCTGTCAAGCAGTTTACCATTATTAGTTTACCATTATAAGGGCTTTGAATAATTGCCTTCAATTTCGCAAGGAACTTAAACTTCTGTAAATGCCAGAGAAGAGGTACAGTGCGAATGACCGTAGAAAGGATTTCATAATCAATCACAACGAAAGTGACCTGCGCCGTCCGGGAATTGAACACGGGTCGCCCGATTCACAGTCCAACGCTCTAGCTATTGAGCTAACCGGACGGCTAGGTTGTAACTACACTTAAATGAAATTTTATATATGTATATAATTATGCTTATAAAACAATTTTCAAACATTGAAGAAAATGTGAAATATTAAATGCAAATATTTGTGCACATTATATGTAATCATTAAAATATATAACATTCATTTCGTATTGAAAAATTTGACTTAGACTTTATAGAAAATAAATGTTTAATTAAACTCCCTTTTTTACATGAAATGTTAAATTCGGTAATATCTTTACAAATAATGCTTTTTGGAACTTACAATATTGATAAACTTAATTTGAGCATCATACTTATGATATAAAACCATAAAAATATTGTGTAACAGGAAGGATCTTTAACAAAATCATTGCAAAAAGTCTTTTAAAATTACATTATTCAAAGCATGGCACTGTCAAGGTATCTCGTCTTCCCATTCGGGCCAGCTAAATGTCACCTTAATATCTTTAAGGTCTTTAGATCTTTCTCTTTTTTTTCGTTGGCTAATCAATGAGCATATTAGTTATACTTGTTTTCTGTAGGACATCATGTGTGAATCTGAATTGTTGAAACTGTCTTTGAAGTGCAACTTTAAAATACAAAAAATTATATCTTTAAATTATTATGTAGCACTTTCTATTTCGTTCGCCATTTAGTGCAATGGGGTGTTCATGGCACTATTTGATACAATATGTAACATTACTCATTATTTTCTCATTTTATTATTAACATAAACAATCGACACCGTGTTATAAAGCACATATACTTATACTTATACACACAATTATTACATATGTTTGTATATACAGAGTTTTTTTGGGTATATTTTTGCACATAGTTCACAACTAATATATAATATATAATGTATATACATGTAGGGGCTTATTTACTTACATAAATATAAACACATATATGTGCTACCTACACTTATTTCACTATTAAATAACTATTTCAATTTATATAACGAAGTTTACTAACAGCACAACGTATAAACTATAATTACATTATATACACATGTATGTTATATATTCAACAAATAAGCATCACCAGAAAATTGGTGAATATTTTATACACGTTCATATCTGAAAAGAAGTCTAATCTTTTATCTGAACTCATATTCTTATACATGCCCTTTTGGTTGGCAAATTTTGGGTATGGTCATTCTTTGTATAGAACTCCTTTTTCGGATAATAGTCATTCGGATAAGCATGTATAAAAACGGGGGGAGGGGGAGGGGAGTCAGTTTATCACATAATTTAGCTAAACACTGTCTGTTTTATCATGTTGGAAGAACGCATGAACGCCACATTAAAGTCACGATATAAACTAATGCTGAAAAAATGTTTTCAGATGTTATGTATTTGATAAGAGAATTGCTGTTAAACGTTATGCTGTTAGCTGTTGACTCAAATGACTCCACATATAGCGGATTCTGGTAAACGATATCTGTATTAGGATTATGGTACGGCGGCTGGTCGTTACTATGGTTATATTGTCGGGGGTGTAAAGGGGCGGCCGTCGTTCTGTCACCTATTGTACCCTTACAAAATCTTGATTGGTCCTCTGAAAGCAGAATTTAATGAAAATGACGATGCGTTTATTCGTAATATTATAATAAGGTCTTCAGCCCAAAATACAAGCATGTTTTCATTGTTCAAAGTATTTTTAATTCAAGTTGGATCGTATCATATTCAATCAATTAGGATAAATGATATAACCAGACAGTTCTGGTGTTTCTTTTATGCTCAGTGAAGAAATGTGGTGCAATAAAAGGATATGTGGCAACTTGTGAGTGCACTGCAGTTATTGCACTGTCTGTGAAATGTTATACGCAACACATTAGCATTCTTATTCAGATTTTAACAACACTTTTAATGTAAATTTGATGAATTTGATGAATTCAAACACACAATAAGTATGTAAAAAATCCCGCAAAAAGCACATATTTAACTGTACAAACTAAACATACGCATTTGTTTATGATTCTAAATTAAGCAATGGAGTTTTAATCCTAAATCAATAGTATGCACTATGGTGTCCTGAATTGGCCATTAAATAGCGCCTGTTGACAAGCTATGAGATGACAGATCGTGTTCATCTTCAATCAAGGTGTTAAGAGGCGTTGATATAAACATGTACTTACCGTCTTGTAAATACAGCAAGACTGCGGGTGTGCTGTCCAAAGCACATGTAGAGTCTGCCAATGTGAAACATTGAGGACTGTCCAGTTTGACCAAGGCCCGATAATTCCATTTCCAGTGACTGCATAAGAAACTTGTTAATACCTAAAATTATTATACAATATATCTATTATAATCATTAAAAAATAAATACAGGTAAAAGTATTCTGTCAGAAGTTGTAGTTGTTGTTGTTGTGCGAGTTTCTTTGTCATCTATATGTGATCAAACCTATGATAATACAGTCTAAATTTTGAAAGAATTGGATGGATGTACAGCAGGATAGACGGACGGACGGAAGAACATTCTAAGGGGATAGACATCTGAGGGGATTTACATTAAAGGTTGTTCCATTGATATTTTTTTTGATCTTTTACATCTTTATACACTTTTTGTCAACGATACAAGCGACTTCTTCCGCCAAAGTATTACTGTGTGTATGGTATGAACCTTATTATGTCAGATTTTACACAAAAACATTCACCCAATCCTCCTATTATAATGTATTGTCCCTTAGATCGGACAAACGGACAAATGTGCCGAAATTTTGAGTTAATTGGCTTTGTCTTTGGTCTAACCAAACAAACCAAACCATTTTCCTCACATACCAGTGCAATTGATTGGTTTATGTGCTTTTCACCTTTTTTATTAATTAAATAATACATGTCTGCTTCCTGGAACTTACCAGCTTGATACACTATTAACAGAAATGCAGTTAAAAAACCAAAGTTACTTATATATAATGAGCAAATTTATAATAATACATGTATCATGATAGATACCCAGCAATTGTAGTTTCCACTAATCATAGATCTTGTAATCAGGTATTGTTCTAAAGGATGATCTTTTAAGAATCCTAGGCATTGTAACTCTGAAATCAAATGGAAAATAATTAAAAATAGCATGACATTTCAATATTATCTTAGTTTACTTACTCTTATGTATCGCTTCAAAGTTAAAACTGTCTACTTATATTAACTGAACGGAAAACTTATATAACGGTGCTATTTAGTTTAAACATAAGTATATTATTATTTAAGTTTGCCGGTGAAAAAGTTTGAAGCGTGTTTGAACCACTTCGGAGTCCGATTCCTGGAAGTAAGAAGTACTGGTGTTATGCTCGAGTACGAGTAGTGCTGGAACCAATGACCCGCGGGCTGAGGAGCCGAGACCGTAATCACTTGGCAAAAATTTGTCTATTTGTCTAATAAAAAGCCCTGTTTTAAATGTGTATAGTAAATATAATTTATAAACCAGTTTACCCATAGGTGCAGCTAAATTTCTGCACGTGTGAGACCTTAAATTAAGCACTCCTCGTGTCACACATCCGTCCGAATCCCAGTCAGATATTGTACCCGTACACGCCTCGCCATACACCGTGCCATTAAACGGTATAGTGTGTGAAAACCCGCAGTATTCGTCCCTAAGGTGGCCGTCCACTGTAAATAAAAAACACGGGCATTTGTCCCGATTTCATATCTTATATCCATGAAAATAGCCATTCAAAATGAAAGTGTTTTTTCCAGGTGTTTTGGAAAACAAACTATATTCCAACCACTTCATATCCTTTTTGAAAAAAATCTTCATGTATACAGTATACTCTTTAGATAAAGTAAAGACTGTATAATTGTCAATGCTATTTGCAAATAAAAATGCATGACAATTCTTTCTCAAATGATTTAGTTTTCTAATATTATAACGTTTAAAAATTCGAAAATTTTCAACATATTTCCCCCCTATTTCAACATCGGTTGTTGAAGCACTAAAGTGAATAAAGTGATGATAAAAGCTTTAGCACCAAAGCAATAACGCCTTCACCTTTTCTTGCTAATGAAGTTAATTTGATTTTCTTAAAATTACAAAATGATTATTTTATCATAAGTACAGAGAGGATGATTTAATTGTGAAGTCTTACTTCGGAAAAACAACTGATACTGCTTTGGATTAGAATATAATTATTCTACTAAGGATGTCGATCCAGACCAGATTGAACCCAATCATATGTGGTACCAGACCAGGCAAGATACCAGACCAAACTAAGTACCATGCCTGGCGAGGTACCAAATAAGACAAGTTACCAGACAAGATGTGGTAACAGGCTAGACGTTGTACCGTAACAGACGTGGTACAAGACCAGACTAGGTATTTGACTTGATGTCTTTCCAAAATCAGATGTAGTACCAGATAAGACGAGGTACTAGACCAAAAGTTGTACCAGAACAGATATCATACAAGACCAAACGTGGTACCAGATTAGATGTGGTACCAGACCAGATGTGGTACCAGACCACCAGCGTTGCACCAGATCAGATGTCCTACCAGCCCATGTTTGTACCAGAACAGACATGGTACCAGACCAGACGTACGCGTGGTACCACAACAAATGTCGTACCTGACCAGATGTCGTACCAGAACAGGCCTTGTACCAGACAAGATATTGTACCAGATCAGACATGGTACCAGATTAGACGTGCTACTAAACAAGATGTTGTACCAGAACAGACGTGGAACCTGGTACCATGTTTCGCAGTCACCCTTTATTCTAAAAAACGATAAATAGATCTTACATGCAAACGAAATTTTAGCACAAGGCAATTTTGTCAGCATGAAAAGAGTTAATAACTTAATACGTACATATAAGGTTTTTCATGTTACTGCTCCTGTACGGGTCATGTACGGGACTTTTGTGGTCCTCAAAATGACAAAGACTGTCAAATCCAATATCTGTTCTGTAGCTCTTTCCTGGAAAAAAGAACATATTTTATACATATTGAGAATGCTACACAAATACCTTATAAATGCACTTATTTTAAACAAGGTTTTTGAAGCATGGCTTAATCTAAATAATGCATTATACATAAAATAATTGTACATGATTTTTCTTTAATATAAAGATAAGAAAGAATATGAAGATCGTATGCATATATTGATGTAAAATGCGATTTTTTCATTGTCGTTTATCATACACTTAATACTGATAAATGAAAATTATATGAGCAACTTGGTGTCTTACCAACACGGAACTGTAGAATATTGTTGTTTCTTCTATCCAGTTCGAAACATGTGTAACGCATTGAACTGAAAATATGAAAAATGATAAAAACAAAATGAAACAGTGCCAATGTTACAGACTCGGAGTGGAAGTCTGACTTAATCCATAACGCAATAAATTAAAAAAGTTTATGCAGGTATATGCCAAAATTTCATCAAGAGCAGGCCAATCATTGTAATCCATTTTTTTTCTTAAATATTAACCCTTAGCCTACTGGCAGGGACTTGTGCAGACCAGGATTAGCTGACACACCCATATTATAGTCTGCACCGTTTACTGTTTATACAATAAATATTTAGAAAATTTAAACAATTACAAACAGATCAGCCTCCAAAAGATCAATAAAAATGTCAATGCCTTTCAAACATTATTTCAAAATAATATTGAGAAATTTTATGAAAAGTGATGATAATGATGAACGTGATGATGATGATGAAAGTGATGATGATGATGATGATGATGATGATGATGATGATGATAAGGAGGAAGACGATGAAATGACGTTACTAACCAGCCATTGTTGAATACTGTAACTGTTTTGTAGAGTCTGTCACTAAACACACTTTTTTCCTTACATATAAACGTGCCAAACTGTGAGAAACGTATAGCAGTGTCATTTATCTTGACCTCTTCCTTATGAACCGTGTCATAAAACAACCACGTGCCTTGTACACGTGACGCAAAGGGACACAACATGTCAAACGTGTCACTATTTTCAGCTGAAACAAGAAAAAATATTTTTTAACATAAAACAGACACAGTCATGTAACGATTTTATTTAATCATTTTGTTATGAAAGAATAGGCGTTGATTTATTACTACATTAAAAATCACAAGTCAAACACGATTTGATACCAAATACATCAAGTTTTAATTTAGAAGTGTGAAGTTTGAATTGTTACGTTTGAAGTTCAAACTTATGTCTTAGTCATTTGTCTTATTTCACACTTTCATCCTCACACTACACAACTATGACATACCATCAATAATTTGAGTGTTAAGGAATACGTTGATAAATGATATAAGGTTTCAACTTTTTTAAAAAGAATAGTAGTAAATCCTTGACCCATATTTTGCGTTCAATTCAATTAATTAGTAAATGTCAATGTATACTAAAGAAAATTATTATTACAAATTCACAATTTAAAGTGGGTCTACAAAGTATTTCAAATATTGATAAAATAACTAGAAATGTATCAAACTGATATTGTTATAAAATATTTCCTGAAAAATATATTGATGAAAAAGTTCTTAGTGGTTCAGTATGAACATTTATATGATGAACAATGATATTTTGTTCTAGAATATTTTATTATTTCCTATTTATTACATGCTTTTCGGTGGTTTATAGAAATATATCAGTGATATAAAACTTGTAATTTCACTGTTTAAAACAGTGAAATTATCAATTTGATAATTTCATTGTTTTAATTTAAGCCCCTTACGTTGTTGTAGTGAAATACCAGGGTGCACAGTACTGGGAACCAACTTAATGACGTGACGTCGTAAATGACGTCACGTTGTATTATTATTTGGCGTGTTTTTCATTCAATATTAGGTTTTATCACACACCCGTGCCGATTTTGCGACTCCGTAAATATGGTATTGCACGGCCGTGCATATATTTTGACGTGACGTCATTAGCGTTATACAAACATAGTGTAAAGAGCGCTAAATGTTAGCGTTGTACTATAGGCGCGTCAATGAAAAATGACTCTTATTTCACTTTAAACAGTCTTTATTTTGGGTATGTGATAAATAGAATATTAAATTCATGTAAGTTCATTACTGAATTTATTGCACTCGTTGAATAAAATAATATTATGCTCGCCAGAGGCTCGCATAATATAATTTTATTCAACGAGTGCAATAAATTCAGTATTGAACTTACACTCATTCAATATCCTCTATAAATGACTTTATTAAACGTTTCTTTGCATATAATAAAAAGAAAAAAATGTTTAGTTTAGTGTAAGATCGAAATATTTTTCACCTTGTGAACACCAAAACTTCATATTTCACTCGTGGCTGCGCCACTCGTGAAATATACCTTTTGGTGCTCACTCGGTGAAATATATTCCGATCTTACACTGAACTAAACAAATATGAATATATAAATATATAAATATTTGTTATATCAGATCATGTATCTTACACTTACCAGCAACATCCATGCATAATTCTAGGGAAAGCCATGGCTGTCTGATATTGTTCTTTTTCAATTTATTTAACCATTTGGATAATATATGAGTTCACTTCGACTAATTATGAATTGAAAACACCTTCTTATTTAACCGGAATCCATTATGTTAATCCACAGTTACAATATATGAAACCATACCGTCAATGTATGAAACCGAGTTAGCAATATATAAGTTGATTTTCTCAATATATGATTCCAATTCTTCAATATAATTATGGTACCAAAGTAGCCATGTATGGAACCAGATGTCCTTATATGAAACCGAATTATCAATATATTAATTCATTTTTACAATATATGAAACCATTTTATCAATGTATGGAACCAAAGTAGCAATATATGAGTTGGTTATACCAATTATTCAATACATTTGTATATGGAACCAAAGTAGCAATGTATGAAACCAGGTGTCCTTATATGAAACCAAATTATCAATATATTTATTCATTTTTACAATATATGAAACCATTTTATCAATGTATGGAACCAAAGTAGCAATATATGAGTTGGTTATTACAATATATGATACCAATAATTCAATATATGGAACCAAAGTAACAATGTATGGAACCAGGTGTCCTTATATGAAACCAAATTATCAATATATTAATTCATTTTTACAATATATGAAACCATTTTATCAATGTATGGAACCAAAGTATCAATATTTGAGTTGGTTATTACAATTTATGATACCAATTATTCAATATATGGAACCAAAGTAACAATGTATGGAACCAGGTGTCCTTACATGAAACCAAATTATCAATATATTAATTCATTTTTACAATATATGAAACCATTTTATCAATGTATGGAGCCGTAGTATCAATATATAAGTTGATTATCACATTATATGATACCAGATCTTCAATATATGGATCCAAGTAAGTCATGTATGGAACCAGATGCCCTTATATGAAACCGAATTATTGATATATTAAATCAATTTTACAATATATGAAACCAGTTTATCAATATATGTAACCGAAGTAGCAATATATGAGTTGATTTTCACATTATATGATACCAGTTCTTCAATATATGATACCAAAGTAGCAATATATTGAACCAAAATGTCATTATATTAACGGGACTTTTTTTAAAGGCTGTATTCTATCCTTGCACCGGTATTACAGTTTCGCGCCAATATTCCTTGTTTAAAGAACAGCGTGCTTCACTGACTGCATACTGCACATTTTCTGAATAAGGAAATATTTGAATTTAACGTCACATTCACTTAAAATGGGCTGGGCAGGCAAAACTTATCGTTATATTTGTAGGAGTTGTATGTCATAATTTAAGCTATTGAGTCGTACTGACCATTAACAAAAACATATTTAAAAAATAAGTTCATCTCGACCTTTACCTTTGATCAAAAATAGGCATGGCCAGTAGGACACATCAAGGTTAATCTACTCACAAAGTTTAATATTCAGTCAAATAATAATTGATTTCATGAAAAAGTGTATGCATTGTAATAACAGAACCCAGTGACCTCGGCCTTTAAATTGTTGACTTGAAAATTGCTATCATAGAATGTAACATCAACTTATATACTAGCTGCTACTTTGGTTCCATACATTAACAAAATGGTTTCATATATTGTAAAAATGACTTAATATATTGATAATTCGGTTTCATATAAGGGCATCTGGTTCCATATATGGCTTCTTTGGTACCATATATTGAAGAACTGGTATCATATAAAGTGATAATCAAGTCATATATTGCTACTTTGGTTCCATACATTGATAAATTGGTTTCATATATTGTAAAAATGAATTAATATATTGATAATTTGGTTTCATATAAGGACATCTGGTTCCATATATGGCTATTTTGGTACTATATATTGAAGAATTGGTATCATATAATGTAATAACCAACTCATATATTGCTACTTTGGTTCCATACATTGATAAATTGGTTTCATATATTGTAAAAATGAACTAATACATTGATAATTCGGTTTCATATCATGACATCTGGTTCCATATATGGCTACTTTGGTACCATATATTGAAGAATTGGTATCATATAATGTAATAACCAACTTATATATTTCTACTTTGGTTTCATAAATTGATACATTGGTTTCATATATTGAAAAATGAATTAATATATTGATAATTCGGTTTCATGTAAGGACATCTGGTTCCATACATGGCTACTTTGGTACCATATATTGAAGAATTGGAATCATATATTGAGAAAATCAACTTATATATTGCTAACTCGGTTTCATACACTGACGGTATGGTTTCATATATTGTAACTGTGGATTAATATAATGGATTCCGGTTAAATAAGAAGGTGTTTTCAATTCATATATAGTCGAAGTGAACTCATATATTATCCAAATGGTTACATAAATTGAAAAAGAACAATATCAGACAGCCATGGCTTTCCATATAATTCTGTCATGGTTTGATGTCGTGTCTGTTCTTAAAAACAGTAATTATTTACTATATCACAGACCTTCCATTATAGAACAATTCACTTTAATACTTACTACATTTCTTGCACGACCGTTGGCAATGAACTGCGTATTTCTCTTCCTTTTTGCACTGTCCTTTCTTCTCAACCATGTGGCATCTCTCAGTATTATCATCAACACATTTATCAGGTGCTAAAGTATCAAATTATTAAGAATATATCCAAGGTATTCCTACACATTTTTTTTGTTCTACATTAATGCAGTAATTCCATATACAGCTGGATTGTTGATGAAGAAAAGTCCTCACAATATGCCTCAGAAATGAGTAAATTTTTGCTTATTAATAAAGGGCAAACATGAATTTTATACTGTTTTTAAAATGGTTTTAGAGGATGTCAGATGCTTGTTACGTGAATAAAGTAGCGATAAATGTAAAATAATGTGTGATAAAAGAATAAAGTAGCAAAATGTAAACAAATTAGTATTTTGACTTACATACAAAATACTTATAATGCACTATAACTGCACTTATTGTCAAAAAGCAACAGATGAAAAAAAGATAGTTCAACTGGCAAATTATAACTTTTTGGACCAAAATTAAAAGCTTTTGAGAAATAAAAGTATTCCTAAGGTGATATAGGTCTTTAAACAGTAAAAAAGTTGTTTTTACTTATTTAGAACATTTGTATAAATATGGTTTGATAAAGATAAAAATAAACCTATTGTATTCATTTCCAGTTCATGATACTCTATTCCAGTCGGTGGCATACCGTCTTCTTGCAAGGGGCAAATAACACTGAAGTATACCATCACCTGAAAACTCTGAGTAATTTCCCTTGGAAAACGCTGAAAGAAAGTGAAATTCAGGCAAAGTGAAAATCAGGCAAACGATTTTTGTGACTAAGTAATAAGTAAACATGTGTATTTGTTTATATGACGAAGTAAATTAATTCTCCATTTTTTAAAGTTTCTATTCAAGAAACAATAATAATTATATTTTCAGTTACGCATACTACGAAGAAAACTTTTACTTTTCTGAAACTTACGAGACAGAACTGGGGCTCGCCGTTAGCGTCACCGACAACGAGGAACGTGTAATATAACTCTTGCCAACCAGCCCAACAATAAAACCGTGACACTGAAATAAGAAAAATATTAACATATTGCTTGATACTACACACATTTGATTTAACCAAATAAATTTTGCCGTTCTTCGTCATTTTCTGTGTCGTTCAATCAATTTTTTATACAGGCTTATATAAAACCTGTCGAAAATATGCTATAAATCGCGTTCCATAGACTCGTGTGATATGTCTTTTAATTAAAAGTGATGTTATAAACATGTATAAATTACCCATTCCAGGAAGTTTCATTATGGATACCATATGTAAATAACATATTTTTACAATATATAAATTTCTGCAATAGTTATTTGTATAAATGTAACTTCAAAATAGTCAATCACATTTACAGCTGTATTTCAGATGTTATAAACAGTACTAACATTATCAAAGTTCTTCCGAAACCACGAACACATTAAAGGCCAATTATACCCCAGAAATGTGTTCATTTCATTTCTCAAAAACTTTTTTTAATTTTTGGTATCTTGTTACAGTTTCCAAAAAATAATACCCATTTGCTATATACATGAGTCATCTTCTGCTGATTTTGTTATGTTGGCAATAGGTATAATCACAGTTAATTGGTATTTTTGTATAGAAGTCAAAATACAACTTTGTTTACATTTTGCTACTTTTTACAACACATTACTACATGTTCAGTGCTACTTCATCAGTTGTTAAACATCTAACATGCCAATTGCTCTTAATCCATTATTAAAACATTATTAAACAAATAAAATGACATTTCTAAAGAATTAAAAAAATATTGATTTCTGAAGCATAATGTGCCTTTAAGAAGTATATTTATTAATTCACTTCAACAGGAAAGTGTCGTTGAAACAGTGGAATTATGTGACATCATTTACGCGGTTTGTGACGTTGTTGACGGATGAACAAATTAACAAGGGAGTTTGTTTATTAAAGAAATTAAACATTTGCTTGAAATCAGACTCATATATATTTTATAAATTTTTTCCCGCTATTATACTTTTTATAGTCTTATTAGCTCTTTCTCCAGATTTTTATGACAAGTTTTTATTCATTTTTTTTTTCAATTGTACTTTCAACAGTTACAAGAGTCTGAAAATCTTTCTAAATCTTGCGACATTGTTGGGACTTAGAAATTGTAAATTGGTTTCAAACGGTAGGTGTAATAGGATAATTAGTTTGAGACAATTTTAGTGTTACAAGCTCCGCTTCCCGCATCATTTGTCGGTGTTTTACATAAAAAGCTACCAGCAAGTGAAAATAATCAACATTCAGTATAGAAGAACACTGGTGCCTATTTTGGAGACAAAAGTAACGTAATTACACTCACAAAATCTTTATATATACTGAAGATTTAGATTTCCGTGAAGATTTCCTAGAAAATTCTCTATTATATTTAAAGTACAATTTTCTTCTTTTATCTAGACTATAATACAAAAAAACCCTAACAATGAAAGTTGTCAAATGAGTAAAATGATAATTTTTCCTTCTTATGGGAAGGAAGAACTATGTTTGTTGAAACTCACAAAGACATGACAAAATAAAACTTCACCTTGAAGTCCAAAGCATGCAGAATGTATGGACCTCGCCATTTTGAATCATGGACTGTGCCATTTTTATATTAGGAAGTTTGACTTTGAGTTAAGATTACAAAGTAAGCTGTTATCATTGAACAAATAAAGCATAGTTTAGTTTTAAAAAAAAAAGCAAATAAGTTATTCATCACCATACATTTATCTTAACTATGATATAAATGTCATTTTTTTTAAAATAATTTCTTCGTTTTCTGTAAAATGCATAGTGACCCCTCCCCCTTGTAATCGACGAGTCTAGAAAATAACATTTAAGGACATGAATGGTGTTGACATTTCCGAGGTCCGTACTCTCAGTGCCTGAAAGGGCGGCTGAACCTTAATTAAGCCTAGAATACATACAATACAACCCCGTTTCAAAGTCAAAGCATTCAACGAACTGTTGTTAGTATTTATACAATTCATAGAAAGAATAAAGAGAGCGTTCGTACAGTGTTATTTACAGAAAATAATCAATTAAGACAATTCTAGGAAGGGAACTGAAGATTCCTCGAAACCAGGTAAAACGAAATAACACAACACACAAAAGCATAGTTGACAATTGTACTCTCGGATAGTCTGTTCATAAGAGATAATAAAAAAAATGCAACATAATCCTCTATGCTTTGACTTTCAAAGCGGCCGCACAAAGTTTATATTATTTCTGAGAAGTCGCTGCGACCAAATATCTATACTATTTTAGAACTTCGCCATTTCAAAACTTCTCATATGTAAACAGTAGCATAAAAGATCGTGTAATAGTAATTAACTTCTTGTTTAAAACTTCAATTTAATTAGGAAAACATTTAATTATGCCCTAATTAAAAAGTAAATAACTTTGACATATCGCTTGCACATGTTTTAACTGACATATCTGTTTGAAAAAAGTTATATTAAAAGGTTTATTATGCCCTAGAAACGTATAGATTCTTATTTCTTAAGAATGGGCAAAAATGAGTTTTGAAATGTTTAAAATAGTGATTTCAGATTATGCTGGATGCTTGTTGTCAGAAGAATGCAGCAACAGAAGAAAAAACGATTGTTTATGTTATTGGCTAATGAGTTACATGTACTTTTTGGAAACTATAAAAGTACAACAAAAACAAAAAGCGATTGTGAAATAAAAATGAAATCGTTTCTGAGGCATACGAGGTATGATCAAAAAGTTCTCGACCCGATTTTTTTCTAGTCACTACACTGGCATTTACACACTATACGGTCGATACCGATATCTTTTCGAGTTATACGCGGTTTTAACATGAAACACACTTTGATCATTATAGGGGTGTGTCATTTAGACCAAATGGAGAAAGTTGAAATCAGAGCCGTCATGGATACACTTAGGAAGGAGTCCCCCTTCTATAGCACTGTGAAAAAATGAGTATCTGAATTTAAGAAGGGCAGAGAGATCATTGGAGATGATGAGCGGCCTGGATGGTCAAAAGAGGCCATCAACGATGAAACTGCCAAAGCTGTGCACGATCTGGTCATGTGCGACAGAAGGCGAGACCTGTGAAGCATTGCTAGGGAAGTGGGAATACGCTTTGGTTCAGTTCAGGCAATTCTGACTGATGTCTATGGCATGTCAAAGGTTTCTGTTAGATGGATCACCAGACAGTTGACTGACGACCAGAAACGAACCAGGCTTGACATTTCAAGATCGTAATTTAATTGTGTACATTGGGTTGAACTTGCAAAGTGGATCATTTGGATTACTGTGGTCAAGATATCTTTTGTCTCGCTACGAGGATGAACCCGATTTTATCCACCGGATCGTAACTCAGGATGAAACATGTGTGTATCACTTCGATCCAGAATCCAAAGAACAGAGCATGCAGTGGAAGCATCCTGGCTCACCCACCCATTCAAGAGAGTGCCATCAGCAGAGAAGATGATGGCTGCAAATTTTTGGGATAGTCAGGGAATAATCATGATTGACTGTCTTGAGCAAGGTCGTTACATAAACGGTGCGTACTATGCAGTTGAATTTAGACGTCTGCGTCAAGAAATCGCACGTAAAAGGAGGGGCAAACTGACTCCTGCACAACAATGCGCCAGCTGACACTTCTCAAGTTGCGATGGCTGCTGCAGCTGACTGTGGCTTTGAAATTCTTCCCCATCCCCCATATTCTCCAGACTTGGCCCCCTCTGACTTCTACCTGTTTCCTTAACTGAAAACCAAGCCTCGTGGTAGACGTTTTGCAAGCAATGAAGGTGTCATGGAGGCGGCCAATGAGTTCCTTGAGGACCAAAATAGAGAGTTCTATTTTCAACTTGGAGCACAGGTGGGCAAAGTGCATTGATGTAGAGGACTATATTGAAAAGTAAGACCATTAGTTGGGTTCTCTGACTACCGGAAGAACTGTTTGATCAATCCTCGTAATAGCTAAGAGTATATTTGAGTGTAACTAAATAGAATGTTAGTATTTGCATAATTATAAAACATCTACATATAATGAGTGGATATTTATTGCACTAGTATTTGACTTCTTTCTATAAACACATTCTTATCAGAAAAAAGTAATACCTTCCGATTTTGATGAAAAGGGGTTACACTGGCTGCCTTTTGGAGCGATGAAATTTAGACCGTCCCCTTTTGCACAGTCGATTTCTAGACGAGATTTTCTCCATTCCTCCTCGCAGAAATCCTGTACAATAGAAAAATAGTTTAACCTGGTCAAAAGATTTTAAATTACACACACAAAAATTACGAATAAGGTGTTGGAAAAGATAGATGGAGAAAAAAAAACTAACTTTATTTATTTATTTTTTAAATTCCTACTTCGATTTTTATTTATTTATGTTTTTTTTAATGGTGTACTGCATGGATGCGTAAATCTGTAAAACACCTTTCATATCACCTATCAGAATAATGAAAACTAATTGTGGTTCAAATAATATATGTTTTGTTTTATATTTTCTGCTCTATTCACTGTTGTCATTACATATGCTTTAGTTTCTTGTTGCTACAAAGTCTTTTGTTAAATGTATTTGCTAATCATAATAAAGCTTTAGTTATGTTATGTTTTTAGTTCTGTTCATTGTGTAAAATACCATTATTATGGGATTATATGCCTGTAAAGGCCTATGATTGTATGTTATTATATGTCTGTAATGGCCCATGACTGGAAATATAATTTATTATTTTCAATACCACAGACTAAGAACATTTCAGTTATTGACAAAATATAATTTATAAATTAATAAACAACAATACAAAAAGAGTTTAATTGAACAGAGGAAAAGAAAAAAAAATAACCAAGACTTGCTTATTTCAAATACCTATTATAATTCTGCACGAAAAGTACGTGTATGCCATTTTAAGTAAAAAAATCAATAATAATTACAATTAAAGGCAAAACAATCTAAACAAACAAAGAAAAAGAAAAAACATCTTCAGAGGTATATTTAACAAACGATTACAATGTGTATATAATGTATTTCTAGCTGCATATATTTTTACGGTTAAACGTCACGACGTCAATAAATATTTTACCTCATTTGTTAGTTTGTTCAACGTCCGGAAGCTAAATCCACCGTTAATTGGACATGTGATCACCTGACGTCTCCATGGAGCTGTACGAAAAAGAAAATGAACTGTTTACAGATACATTTCAATTAATAGACCGTAATTTCAACTATTTTTCACCATGCTTATAGTATCTCTATGTCTGAAGATAATGTAAAATCAATTGTAAAAATTGTAAAATATTAAGCAAAAGACTTCATGATTTGCTTATATATATGCTTTGCCTGGTAAAGCAAAAATAAACAAAATAACAATTTACCGATCCATGGCCACTCTTTCAATTGTAATTGTCGTTCATCACATAAATTTTTATCATTGAATTTACTCTTCTTGCCTGAAATTGGAAAAGGGCATAGATGTGATAAAATTGAAATGCAAAAAGATTTTACATTAAGAAAAATAATCACTTATGATATGAAAATTTGATTATCACAATCATTGCACTCACTTTTTTTAAATATGCATGCCTTTGAATAATGATTTTCTGTCAAAATACTGATATATTCTTCTTTTTAGCTATTTTAAGTATAGAAACAAGAATTTTAAAAATACCTTCCATGATCTGGACGACATTTGTGCTTCTCTGAATAAACTTGACACACAGAAAATATGGACCTCTGCAATGAATGTGGAAGAAAGAAAGAATATTAAAAGATTGGTAAAGTAAAGACAAAAAAGGAAGTGTCTCGTTTTCATGTGCTGATTAAAATTTAGTATGGGACATGCTTGATCCTGGGAAGTTGCCAAATCCATTTGCTTTATGTTATATACTTTTCATTTGTATAATATTTTACATGTTTGTGCCGCAATAAAATATGTTAAAATAGTAATTTAATAAATAAATTAATTTCGTATGCTGATTAATATAAAAATATAACATTGGTATGGGAAGGCTTAATCCTGGGAAGGGCTTAATCTAATGTTGACCAACTCATTTGCTTCATGTTATATACTTTTCATTTGTATATATTTACATGTATGTGCTGCAATAAATATGTGTTCAAACTAAATGTGACAGTAATCTAATAGATAAATTAATGCAATAGATAAAACATCGCGCACTTAAATAGTTTCACTTGTGCAAGGTATCAACACCTAAGCTGTATCTAAAATGTAAACGTCTATTTCGCATTCAACCAGATTAATAATCAGTGCCTGGATTTTTATAAATTGAAGTATATTACACGTAGATACCTCCGAACTCAAACAGAAACTTCAATTTCAATTTGAATGTAAAAGGAAAATAACTAATTTAATGTCACACATTTACATAAGACGTTCTCTCAGAGCGTTCCCGCAGCTTACTTGATGAGGCGTTTGGGATTGCGAATGTTAACAGAACTGTCAAAGAATTGAGTGGAGTAATGAAATATTAAACACACTGTGTCCAGACGATAGTGTGTGACTGCTCTTCATCTCGTGCAAGAGTCGAGTAATAATCACAATGTGGTATTATTACGAGACTCCATGTTTCGTGACCAGAGTGCTTCGCGTTTCTCGCGTAGGGTTATTAGTGTTGCGATATTGCGATAGCAAGTTTGATATACCAATATCACGTGAATAATGTAGTCGGAATTATCAATGACATTGAGTTTTACCGTCCATCCGACTGTCTGTCCGTCCGTCTGTTTGTCTGTTATGATTTCTACAGTGTATCTTCTTTATCCTACTTAATTACTATAACTTTACCTTGGCCATGATAACTTTCATTTAAATCATCAAGAAATTATGTAAATACTATAATACTATAACAGAGTCGACACATGTCTTGTGCTTGATCAAAACGCGTCTTTTAGTCGTTTTCAAGGGCAGGCGTTATCGAAACAGGTCGTGGGGGTAGGGTAAGAAACTCTTAAGTGTAATCGTTGTAAAACGCGTATTACATAACAAAACTATTCAAAACTTATGTAGACAGGACTGATTTAAAGAAAATATGAATGCTAGAGGCATTTTATAGTACAAGTAATATCTGGAGTGTTTTAACCTAATATGGGTATGCTGAAGACGATGAGGGTGGATACCAAGAAAATAAAATTGACCTTAACCTTCAAAAGGTCAATTCAAAATGGCCGCTTGAAAATACTAAAATAGGTCATTAAAACTATGATACAATATGATGCAATTAATTATTCTTGTCAAAATCAAATGATTATTCAATATGATAAGATTTTAATGAGATTGGCCACCAAATTTAGCGATTATAAGCATATATTTCGTAATTAAGATTTTATATTTCGTTAAAACGAAATAATATTTCTAATTGGGAATTATTATCCCGTAAAATCGAATTCAATTTAGGGAGAAAAATGTAGAAAATGTCACTTCAGGTGTTCTGTAATTTTCAACATTATTTGTAGCTATGATTTTTTAAGTTGTTCATTTTGTTTTCATATATTTTGCACTTGGTTTAAAATAAATATTTAAATTTTTTTGTTTTGAAATGTCAAAAAATGTCATTTCAATGCCATAAACACAACACAAACCGAGACAAAAAATGTTTAAGAATATATACTGCGCCCCCCCCCCCCCAAAAAAAAAACACCAAAAAAACAGGTTTTAAAAAAGGCAACAGTAGGAATCGAACTATAGACCTCTCATACATCAGTCAATCACTTAACCGGCTGTGCAACTACAGAAGTAACGATGACGTTTACATTTTTAGCAGATATGACTTTCACTAATATTAGTTTTATAGTTTTTTATTTTATCCTTTAAATGGATTACTGTTTATCCATGAAAATTATATTTAATAATTTCACAGTGAAAAATTATGAATATATAATTTTACACTTTTCAATGACAAAACTACTTTCTTAAGATTTTCCCCATGTGGTACCTCAATTTATTTTTGCTGACAATTCTGACAATGTCAGGCTGTTTCGAGAAAAGCAAAGCTGAAATTGATAAATAACTTAAATGTCAAAAGTAATAAAAAGAAGAAAACTTACTTCTATTCATCTTAATTACCAATCAGGTAATATCGTCTCTAAATTTTTTGTTTGTTTTATTTTTACAGTCTGAAAAATACATTCCTCCCACATGCAAAACTGCTCTTGATGACATTTGGGCATATTTAAGTTTACCATCTTGTTTAAAAATAAGTGACTATTTAATTTGAAATTTAAAGTTAAAGTTAAAAACAAAAACAACAATAACAACACCATATTTTCATCGAGTCAGAAAAATGTCTGAAACCGGAGATTGCTACGTGTGTTTGCTATACAATGGCAGCTCTCGAAAATTTTGGAATTCAGTCACGGTTTTGAGAAAATTCTACAAGAAGATTATCAACATCATTCCGGGTACCCTCCAATAAATTTCCAGGAATATCTTAAAGTAACAGCAAAGTTATTTATACAAATATTACTTGTAAAAAAAAATGGAGTAATATTTTCTTTGACCATATATAAAAGTCACGTGGGTTGACTACATAGTAGAGGTGTTAAAATATAATTGTAATACACCTTTTGTTAGCCATTGAAATAGTATTTTATGTATAAAGGATTTTCAAAAATGGTTATTATTCAGAGCGGGCGCAATGGTGCAGTGGTAACACTGTCTGCCTACAAATCAAGGGGTCGTGAGTTCGATCCCCCGCTACTCCACTGAACGAATAAATGACTACAAGATTGACAAAACCAGGACATAGACACAGAATGACGGTAACGATAGAAACAAGAAAAAACCTTAACGGAACAGGAAACAAGTACCAAAAGTACAAGACCGAAGACGACGACCGATAACAGAAGGAAGAACCGAGACAAGGACTGACAACAAGCGAACAAAAACGAGAACCGCTAACAGAGACAGAGACCTATAACAGAAGTACTGTCAACAAGCAAAAATATACGTCGACCGATAGAAAAAAGAAAAACCCTTAACGGAGCAGTAAACAAGTATCGAAAGTACAAGGCCGACGACGACCGATAACAGAAAAACAGAGACAAGGACCGATAACAGAAGACCTGACAACAAGAGACCTGACAACAAGCTAACAGAGACGTCGACCAATAACAGAAAAACAGAGACAAGGACCGATAACAGAAGACCTGACAACAAGAGACCTGACAACAAGACAACGGAGACGGGGATCAATAACAGAAAAACACAGACGAGGACTGCTGACAGGAGAATAGAGACGGGGATCGATAACAAAGACGCAAACCGATGACAGAAGAATTGACAACAAGAAAACGGAGACCAGGAGTAATTACAGAAGAAAAGAAAAGAGACGAGAACCGATGACAGAATAACGGAGGCCAAAGACGAGAACCGATAACAGAAGAACGAAGACGACGACCAATAACAGAAAAACAGAGACGTGACCCGATGACAGAATAACGAAGAAGAACAAAGACGTCGACAAGAACCGATAACAGAACAAGACAGGAACCGATAACAGAAGAACTGACAACAAGACAACGGAGACAGGGATCGAAAACAGAATAATATACACGAGGACTGATGACAGAAGAATTGACAACCTGAAAACGAAAACACAGGACTGATTACAGAAGAAAAGAGACGAGAAGGGATGACAGAAGAACGGAGAAGAACGAAGACGAGAACCGATAACAAAAAACGAAGCCGACGACCGATAACAAAAAAAAAACAGAGACGAGAACCGATAACAGAACATCTAACAACAAAACAACTGACAGGACCGATTACAGAAAAACGAAAGTCACGACATAACAGAAGAACTGACAGCAGAGAAATGCGAAGAGAACCGATAACAGAAGAACGAAAGTCACGACCAATTATAGAGGAACTGACAGCAGAGAAATGCGACGAGAACATATAACAGAAGAACGAAGACGACAACCGATAATAGAACACCAAAACCCAAGAGTACTCAGAGAAATTAATTAATGTATATTTTGCATGCACACGTTTTAACCCCCTTTTACGCTGTGTAAAAGTATGCATCTGACTAGCCACTCTATATGCGTTCATAGAGTCCCAGATAAAATACATGAAAGCTCTATATCTAGCAGATAGGACAGGAAAGAGTGTAGTGTTCGCTGCGTAAATGCCTTTAAGATTTCAGTACTATCTTTAATATTATTTCTATATTACTATTATATTGGCATTTAGAAAAATGTATGCCATCTTGGATTTTCGGCCATATTGGATTTGTTTTTTTACATGCTTTGTGACACCCCAGTTACACAGAGCCATCGGTGATTGATCGGTAGTTTTTTTAGCCAAATTATGGAGTGAACCGATGACAACGTATTTATCACCGACATCACCTATTGGTCACCTGTTTTCCACCTATCAACTGCTATTGGGGAAAGATAAGTTTCGTCGGTGAAAAATTACCGGTTGGGATTTTTAAACACGTTTAAAATTCTCGATCGGTGAAAATATTTTAAAAATTACCGACGGCAACCTATATCACGAGATGTGCAAGCTCTTAATCACCGATATCGCCGATCGGACAAAGATAACAAAATATGAATCACCGGCCATATCTGACGGAAAATGTTTAACCACTGATGACTAGCTATCAAACACCGATTAATCAGCGTTACGCCCGATTTACAAGCGATAAAAATCAAAAGTATTTCAGCATTTAATCATCGACCCATTCCCGTTTGAGTTTGCTTTCTGTCACCGATGGCCGTTTACACAGAAAACCAGAAATAAAATCACGCATGACAACCGATCATAATAGCGAGTCAATTTAAAATTAAATGACCGATTGGGGACCGACCGTCTGTGTAACTGGGCCATGACAAATTTCAGGCTTTTCCTTTCCTTAAAAGTTTTATTTGATCTATCATCCATTTATGATAAAGAAATTTGGCGGCCATTTTAGTGGTCATTTTAAATGGCCATTTCACTGGTCAAGATCAAGTTTTTCAATTTGGTATCCACCTTTATCGGATTCAGCATACCTTAAATAGGTAAAATACACCAAGATACCACTTGTACTACAAAATGCCTCTAGCATCTTATAAGGAGCCAAACTCTCAAAATCAGTCCTGTCTAATGCAAACATATGCTGGTAATCCATTGACTTTTCAAGAGCATTTTAGCACATGACCATTGCAAGTTACATATTTTAAGTCTGTCCAGCCGATGAAAGTAACAGCACTGTTAGGTTATAATAAAGTGAACCTTGTCGTATGATCATTGTGAATTTATGCATTTTTATATAACATAAAAACTATATTGAAATAAACACTCAGTCCGCTTCCTTGACTAAATATTTAATATGAAAATTGGCAAGCCTATAAACGGGGATGTCAGATAAGATAATTTCGTTATTTTTTTTTTATTTTACATTTTCGTTTTAAAGGTGTCATTCGGTATTTCATGCACCGAAAAATGCGACTGTTCCGTTTTCGGAAAACCTCGCCAATTATCATTGAGTCTTAAGCCGGGCATGTCAAAGCCTATGACATCCCCGTATCATAAACGTGATATTGAATCAAATGCAGTCAGAAGTCATGAGTATAAAAATCATTATTTCGTTTAACAAAGCTATAAAGTAAAACGTTAATTAATCAAGTGTTTGGTTCGCTTACCCTTCTGATCCATATTCTATGACTTTGAAATGATCGAATCTCTCTTCAGTTAAACATGTTCGGTTATGTAGATTTGTTTTCTCTGAGCAACTCCCTTGTATACCGGAAGTTGCTCTGTAATGAACGTGTCTTGACTTCCGGTCACATGGCCATCGATTCTTTGTGCTTTGACTCCATATTAGTGAACCATGCACAAAAACTTCTTGCATTTGTCTTACTTTTGGCTCGTGTCTTAGGTTGAGTAATGACACCTGTGTTGTCCAAGGCATTGGAGATCCTGATTCGTCTATAGGACTTTGTATATATTCTGGGAATGTGCATTCTGTGGTAGCTACTGAAATGAATTAAAATTAGATTAAATTGTGAAGATAAACAACAACTGTAATTGTTATTATTGATTTGCTTGTATATTTTGGACCTGATGCATTTATTTACAAAACACGCCCATACGAATATGTTGAATAAGACTTTAGAAAAGGAGTTGAAGTTGGCAAAAACAAACAACTTGAGCATGCAGCGATTAAAGTGACATTATACCCATGCAAGGGTATTTGATGAACGAGTAATGAATGAGCAGGTGAGAAACAAAAGTTAGCATTTTGACATAATTCTTTTCAATGTTATGATTTTCTTCGCATTAACGACTAAACACAGTGGCTAAAGAAAATTTCTGTAATTATCCTTTGGAAATAACCTGTAAAAATAAAACGTGTTGGACTGTCTTTTTTTTATATTTTAGGCTTCCTTAACTTTTACCAATATCAACAACTTTTGCATAATCACCATTTCAAGAATTTATCTTTTGAATTAATTATATAGTCAATTTGACAATGAAAAAAAATGAGCACAATGTCACCTTAAAGAGAGAAACCCTGATTCATTGCTGATTGGTGTGTAGGTATGAAAGCTTTGTGCTACACATTATCAGCAGAAGTTTCAGTCTTCTCTTCAAATAAGAATAAAGGCTTCTGTTTGCAATTATTATAAAAATGTTTACAAAAACATCTTCTTATATCTCAAGTTTATTCTATCCACAATGCGCGATGGCACATGATGTCAAACGGTGATGTCTAGATATCTGATGAAGGCTATTTAAAGAATTTGTTGACATTGTCATCATTTTATGAATCGATCCTGTCACGCCAAACAATACATTCTCTCTTTAAATTGTAATTAATTTAATGAAATCTCTCCTGCCAATGTTATAGCTCAGTTAATTTGAGTTCATGATATCTACCAAAGTTTGAACTAAACAATTTAAACAAAAACAACCACAACCATAAAAACAGTTTCAAGTTTCAAGTTTCAAATTTATTAGCATCACCAGCAAATCAATTGCCTTTGGCCATTTACAAAGAAAACACATGAAGTATGGCAAAGACATACAATACAGAATAGTATAATAACAATACAAATTCATACAAACAAAAACTTTCATGAAACAGTTAAAGTTTCAAGGGTATATTTACGCAAATTCAAAAGCTTCTTTAATAAATTTCGATAATAAAATCAGTTTCTTTTTGCTGTTACAAGACATAATACTATTAAATTTATTCAAGGAGGCCATGATATGTTACCAAGGATATTCTGTCGAATTTGAGAGTATTTTGTACAACATAGGAGAAAAATGATATTCGGTTTCCTGTTACATTTTGATTACAACATTTTTACATAGACGATTTTCTCTATCTAATCTACTATATCTGCCTAGTTCTACCTCTAAATTGTGTGAACAAAAGTCTTAAACATGTAAATTGTTTTCTATGCATATCACTGGTAATCTTATCTAAATAAGTTTCATAGCTAAATGTTATTTTTAAATTGTCTGTAAAAATCTAAATTTAGATATATTATTTAACGATGTATTCCATTCTTGTATAAACTGATTCACGTAATGTTCTTTTTAAACAGAGGAAAATAATTCATACTTGTATCGAAGTTAAGTCTTATATGCGAATATCCAAGGTGATCTAAAATGGAATGAATGCGACTTGCCCAACAAGAAATATTTACATTGTTGCATTGGTCAATATAAGCAATTAAAAATAGGCATGTTTACAGAATTTTTAATTTTCAACCAGTATTTGAGTGCTCTCTCTTTTGCAACAATAGACAATGGAAATATCCCTAATTCCATAAATTGCCATATTTGGTGTCTGTTTACGTACTCCTAACAAATATTTTTAAAAATCTTATATGTAGTTTATCTACTTCTTTGAAATTGTAAACACCCCAAATTTCCGATCCATAAAGCAAAATAGGTACAACCATAGAATTAAAAAGTTGTAATTTGGTTTTGATATCTAATTTAACTCTATCAAAAATAAACATCAGATTATGGTATGCCTTAAGGGCCTGGTCTGACAACGATTTAACTGCATTTAGAAGATTTCCAGTGTATGAGAATTTAACACCTAGATATGTGAAATTATCAACAATTTCAATATTTTCATTATTTATAAAAAAGACGTTATTATGATCAGTTCTTCTCTTTTCAAAACACACACTTTTTGTCTTATTTACATTGACTTTCAAACCCCACTTTAACGAGTAATCATATATTTTGTCTAACTGTGCCTGTAAACTATTAGGATCAGTTGTGAACAGTACAATGTCGTCTGCAAAAAAGTATCATATACATAGATAATAGCTCTAGATCTTTATTAGTCATTGCATTTATATCAATATTTGCAGAAATATCATTTATGAAAAGTATGAATAGCAAAGGAGACAATGGTTCTCCCTGTTTCAAACCCAACGTTACATCGAAAAAATCTGACATAGACATACTAGAAGATATTTTCACACAACATTTTACATTACTATATATATTTCTAATCATGTTAATCATTTTACAGCTAACGCCAGATTGAAGTAGTTTTATCCATAGCTCATCTCTCACAACAGTGTCAAATGCCCTTTGGTAGTCGATAAAAGCGCACCAAAGTTTTTCCTTTTTCGATAAAACTTTTTGAATAACAGTATGTAGCAAAAAAATGGCGTCAGCTGTAGAACGATTATCACGAAAGCCAAATTGTTCATCACAGAAAATATTTTCTTCTTCACACCATTTATTTATTCTGTTCCTAAGCGTTAAAGAGAAAATTTTGGCTATAACATAAAAACAGTAAGCTGCAGTTATTTCAAACAGCAAAACGTGAATATTAATTATTCAACATTGCATGTATCATAAATAATAAGTTCATCACTGAATTTTCTACTTTTCTTAAAGTGACATTTTGCCCATGCAAGAGTAAATGGTTGAGTGTCCAGGTATTATTAAAATAACTTTATATTTTGTCTTATTTATTTTCAATTTTATAATAATCGTCACCTGAGTAATTAATGGACCACATAAAATGTCTATAAATGTCCTTTGGAAATTATGGTTTGTGTGGGTCAGTCTTTTTATATTTTAGGCAGGTTTTATATTTTATCCCAAACATTTATAACTATCAAGCATTGTTCAATCACCATTAAAATAGTCAACTTTTTGAAATATTCAACTAGTTTATTTCAGCTTGACAGTGAAAAACTGAGCAGAATGTCACATTTATAAGAACATGTAGATTTAAAACGGATTCTTTTTAATTCTGCTAGATTCAAAGTCAGTCTGAATTTTATCATTCAGTAAGATTGTGACTTTATAATTGTTTGTGTTTTCGGATTTTAGGGACAAATTCAGTGTAGATATTTGTCTGTAGAATAACTTCTTATCCCGGTCTGGAAAAAAAATCCACCGCCATAACTTTGACAAATGAACCTCAACAAGAAAGCTGACATAACTCAATTATAGATGTATATTTTCCAAGTATAGTTAATTATATATAGTTAAAACGAAATAAAAGTTGTAGCATGTAATCGATAACAAGAAGGAAGTTATTTGATCTGATTATGTTTGTTTTCATAATTACAAGCAATATCTTGATCAAGTAATTATTTACGACACTAACTTGTTCTTAATGTTTAGTCATATTTTCTTAACATTTTAAACATTTGGATTTTCTTTGTCTTCGTGTCTGATTTGTAAATAAAGGGATTCTTTGTTGACTTATAATGAATTTTTGTTTATATTTCTGTACAAATGCATCATTTTGAAACATGTTGCTTTATAACTTGTACTATAAATTCGACTTACTTTTGATTATGGTAGGCAGGATATTTTGTAAATTGGTACGAAAGACCGGTAGGGCCATTACAACTTCATGAATTCACAATTCTAACTTCGTGAATTCCTTTTTGTATGCTTGACAAAAAATGTTAATATATTTTTACCTGTTTCTCTTATCATTATGTAAAAAAAAATTCTACTGAAAACATAACATTTTTTTTGCATTTTTATTACAATATTCTTAATTATAAAACGACTCTGTAACTTGACTGTCGGCTACCTTATCTGATCTGGTGACCTTGTGAAATAAGTTTTCTAGCATTTGCAAACAATGGGTACAAACGGAAAGGCATACGGAGTACAATTTACAAATAATATACAAATTGATATAAAGTACATTAGAAAACATAATATAAAGTAAAACTCATCGAGAGGTATGAAAATATAAAAATAAATCCCGTATTTCTGTTTATACATGTGCTCTTTGACCTATAAATTAAAATGACTTGTCTTAAATCCGGAAAAATACCAATGAAAATACACAAAATATGTTTCACCACAGTGAAAAATAACCTTTCAGTGAAAATACAGAAAATGAAAATATGAATTATATTTCATCAAAACTTATTCATATTTTATTTATAAGCATATAATAAAAAGTACAATTTGTATGAAAATACAAACTTTTATAAAACACACACTTTTTTTATAGAGTAAAAACAAATAAATATAAAGTGAATTCAAAATTCTGTAAAATTACGAACTACGTGTAACTAATATAAAGTACAAACTATTATAAAGTACAGACATATTATAAAAGTACTAACTAATTCAGAAAACAAAACATGAAATCTCATTTCAGTTATATTTTTCCAGCTCTATGATTGTTAACTAACCCAGATCCGTATTGTTATCGAAAACCAATTAGCTATCTTGGCAAGAACTCTGTCAATAATTCGGTCTTGTTCAATGAAATATTAGTAGCATTAACTGAATTACGAGCAAAGATTGCTCGATGTAACTCGTGCTGATTGCTCTAATAGAGATAGAAGAAAAAGGGTGAAATTGACATGTTACACATATCAATCATACAATCATTTTTTTTAAAACGCTTCCTCAATAGAAAGAAATGATGAAACGTTAAAATTCCAGGAAGTTAGAGAGAAGACATTCTTTATAAAATAGAAAGCAAAATATGCCGTCTTGACCCTTAAATTGCTGAA